GAATGCTCGCTACGCAGTTCCGAGACCGAGACTACAGATCTATATCTACGAGAAAAAGGAGGGTCGAAGGACTGGTTTCCGGGCGAACCAGACCCCGCCTTCAAAAAACACAAGGAGGTAAGAATCGCCCTGCTGCTTCTTTCGTTTCTGCGGCTAACTATGCTTGCTCCTGCTGCTCACTGTGCACTATTATCGATATCGACACAGCAAAGCCGGAACTCTCAATCCCTTGGCGGCTCAGGGACAAGGCCCAATAGGGGCTTCGCCAGGGCTGTACGCCCGAAGTGCTCCAGAAGCACAGTGCCCACAGGCAAAGTGACCCTGCGGCTGCGGTCAGTCGGGTTGCTAGGAGATGCGTGCGTTCGAGATTGGAACGACGCACCCTAGCCTCGTTAAGACGGGGTAGTTAGGAGCTGGGTTTTGGGTTTTGGGCGTTCTCCGTGAACGAGCGCGCCCAGAGAGCACCGCAACGACAATCCTCGACGGGTTCCTGACCTGTATCTGAGAACTACACCCAATCCCGCGCGTGACGATGACTACGGGTCTTGCACTCACAAACTCGATACCGCAGCTGAAGGACAGGGAAAAGCTGGTGATACGCCAAACTTGTGTAGAGTATACTTGTAAACGACGACAACATGGCCTAGACTACGCTGTTGGATATGTGAGCAGAGGGGCAGCACCGGCATGTTGAGCAACGCCCATAGACGCGGCCGCCAAAAGCGCCGCAGGAGCACAAGCTGAATCAGACCACAAGGCGCTTCCTGCAAGACGATGTGGAACACCTGGGTTCTTAGACCACGGAGATCAACAAGGTCACAAGACTAGTCAGACTAATCCCGCTGAGGAGTGAAGAAGATGAAAACAAACGAATACAGAACCGAGGTTTGCAAGATCCACGCCAGTCTCGCGATAGGTGTAGCGGTACAGTGTAGCGTGACCAATCACATCGACAGATGTCTTAGGCCTGCACTTCACAGATTCACACTTTCTGACACATTGCAGCAACACGAGACATCAGAGCATCACTAGAAGCCCTCTGCGTCTGATGTTACCGAGATTAATGAAGCTGGTGCGATCCGTCACCTACCTGCCTTAGAATACCAACATTCACATCCACAAATCAAAAAAAAACACATCTTGGCGGCTGGTAACAAAACAACGACCTTGACGATCACGACGATCCGGACTTCCACGAGAAGACTCACAGCACTGCGAGTCGAAATGGCAGTAACGACATCACACAAATACGTGTATATATATATATATATATATATAGAATATGAAATGTTGTAATAATAGTATGTGGTATGATACAATATCATATCATATAATACCATACAATATAAAATTATACAAGCGAATGTAGTCTAGCACAAGGTGATGTAACATAATAACATATAATGCGATATACGATGCGGGAATAGAATACCATGTAATACAAACTATCATAAAACGTATAGCATGATATAATGCAGTACAGTATGATGTGGTGGAATACAATAATTAAACTCTATTACAATATATTACATTCTGTTATATTATAGTATAATATAAATATACTGTTATGTTGTAAAAACAATACACACACGTCTGCATGTATATTCGTGAGGAATATGTGCAGTATAGTACAACCTGCATTGTATAATCTATGTGTGTATGTATATATATATATATATGTGTGTGTGTGTGTGTATATATATATGTATATACAGACATACATACATACATACAGACATACATACATACATACATACGTACATACATACATACATACAGACATACATACATACAGACATACATATAGAGAGAGCATAATGCACCGTATATAGTTTACCGTATACAATATTTACAGTACCACACAAAGACCGAGCGCCGCCGACTCCAAAGCCCCCGTCGTCAGCCCGAAGACGGCGCAAAGTTGCCAGGAGATCTCCTCAGGTGCGTGGTCCGTTTTGGTGGGTTTAGGATTTAGGATTGAAGATAAGATGGGTCTATTCATCAAGCATCATTATAGGGTGTTGGGTAGGTCCGAGAGTTTCGTGATGTTGTTCTCAGGGGGCTGAAAGTGTTGGGCGATTGGATGTTGACTGTCTTGAACTTTCGTTTAAGGCTTCAGGGTGTTGGAGTCTTGAGTTTCAGGGCCTTCCGTTTTTCAAGTCGAAGCGAGAAAGGTTTCTGATTTCTCGACAACCATGATCAACATGATTTCGACGGACATGTGCGACATGGAAGTAGGTGCTGTCAGGGTCTGCTCTACCAAGCCAAGGCCATCTCCATGATGACTGTTGCTGCTAGATATACGAATGAATGGCAGACCGTTCGTCGGTTTTGCATACAGAAGCGGTAGACAAAAAATGACTCCAAGCCTGCACAGGTAGCCATGAGTAAACATCCCTGGGTCGCCAATCCGCCAGGCAGGAAGCTTGGCGATAAACTTCGGTAGTGATCGGGGAGGTGTCTGTAACTCTGCGAAACACCGATTCTTGGTTCTTGACCACCACGCTTTAGCTGTTGAAGCGCCGGGTCGAGAGCTAAAGTCTGAGATGAGCCCGCCAGGAATCAAGAAAGGGAGCTACGAAAAGCGAGGTCAAACCGCACACCCCCACCACCAACGGAACCCAAAAAAAACCCGAGGACCAAAACCGCAAGTCCTCAACACAAGCAAAAAGCAACAAACAACCAAAAAAAAAGCCCCGAAGCTCGAACCTTAAACCCTGAACCCTCAACATTGAACCCTAGACCCAAAACCCAGGACCCTGAAGCCTAAACCCTAAACCCTAAACTAAACCCTAAACCCTAAACCCTAAACCCTAAACCTGAACCCAAAGCTTCGTAGAGAATAGCTGGCCCGAAGCCCAGGGCTGCACCGGCCAACCTTGTTGAAGACGGTCTTTGGCAGGGCTCGGGGTTGAAGTAGGGTTCAGGGTCTATGCCCATGCTTTCCGGTCGTGGCTTTTGGGTTAGTGCTCAGGGTTTCGAGTTTCGGGAGAAGGGTAAGGCTTTGTTTAGAGGCCTTTTGGGGTTTAGGCTTCGGGGTTGAGGGGCTGGGGCGTGCTGGGGGTTTGAGGCTTTGGTGGGGAGTTGGGGCAAGGCCCCGCTCCTGACTGTGGAGGGTTCTACGCTCGGGGCGCAAGTTCTTGTTTCAGGATCTGAAGCGGGAAATTCCTAAAGTTCGCCAGGTGCCGGAAAAAAACCAGAGTAGGGGCAGGGCGGGTTGAGGAGGCTCAGATTGCCTGGGTCGGCTCGCGGAGCTCTGCCGCTCCCACAACCCCAACAATCCACAAGCCCTAACTAAACCTCAAGGTTCCTTATTACATGTATGGTATAATGGACCCCCAAGCCCTATTCTAATTATTAAAAGATCTTTCTTCCTGTAGTTGCCTGACAGCAGCATGCTACTTGGGCTCTCAAGGCTTAGTCGAGAGTACAGAGCCCCAGATGATGAAAGAGCCTCGAGTTCAAGCTGCCTCTAAACAGGTTTGGTGCGTAGTCGCACGGGCCGGAGAGAACAACAAGCGACAATCTGCTGTGAAGTCGCACAGCTTGCATGAACTAGATGGTTTGACTTGTGCTTGGTATGGGACCTCGCATGTCACAATAATACAGGCTATGCCACTCGGCCAGCAGCGCCGTGAAGAAGGAGATGGCGGTAAGCACCATGCTGCATGCCATTGGAACACTCCCGGAATGATGCTGAAAGAGATTTTCGAAGTCTCCTCGGGTCCCAAGCATCCTTGCTGCTGAATGTGCTCCCCTTGCGGTATGTGTCGCGTCTGTTCCGAAGATGTTGTGCCTTGCTTCGGTTGATGCCCGCCCCCACCACCCCCGATGATTTTCTTGCATAGACGTCTGAAGGTGGTTACTGCAAAAGCGGCGGAGTCTTCAAGTCATGCAGGGCTCGCAGCTAGCACGCTGTATACATGGTGCATGCACAGGAGTGCAGCACAATCACGGTGGGGCCTGAAAGGGAAAAGACGTTGCCCTTGTCCTTCAGCTGGACACCTTGCTGCGGTCAGAAGCTGTCTGACTCGGAGCACCAAGCATGCTAGAGGTCTACTAGGTCACCACGCACACTTCATCCAGCACGGAACTCACACTGCACTGCCTCGGCTCTACTTCTACGATTAGTGGTGTGGATTTTGTGGGATTGCGCGATTTTCCTAAACTTGACAAAGTTGACATCACACAGAATCTCTCCCCGCGAACTGTTGTTTGAGCTCGTGGCGGCGAGGGATAGGAACACACACTTCTGCAAGACTTCCGGGCTGGCGACAAGAATTCGACGCTCCGAGCAAATATAAGGCCTTACTAGTTAGAATGGGTTTGGGGGTATATTATACTATAGTTATAATAAGGATCCCCCAACACCCTATTCTAATTGTTCAATCCCCCTACATTATCCCTGACGAAGGCTTCCACGGCCCGAACCAAATCCTCTCCCACTGAGGCTTGAGCTTCGACCCAGGCCCAAGTTGTCCCAGAGCCGTCCTCACAGGGTTCCTTTAAAGGGTTCCTTAAAGGGTTCTATAAGGGCTACTATAAGGGTTTAGGGTTTAGGGGCCTTAATAATAACACAGTGGCGCGTTTGCAGGTGGGGCTCTGGTTTTTCAACGCCGACATCGGGCAGGAATCTGAACCTGAAGGCTTGCAAGCACCTGGCACAAGATCCGGAATAGGTTAGGTTAGGTGACATAAAGTTAGATCAGGTTAGGTTAGGGTTGGGTTGGGTTTAGGATGGACCAGTTAGGTTGGGTTTACTGACTGCAACCTTCAAGATCCTCTGCCGTCGTTTTGGGGAATCTCTCGACGACACCCCCCTTTACTGCCAGGGTGGAAGGATTTTTCAGCAAGCACGTGCCAGTGAACTGAATTGATGAATTCAACTGTGTTCCAGAAGAGTGTAGCAAGTAGCGTTCATCAGTACAAGATGATCGGCTGCTCGGTATCCTGATCACCGCCGTCTCATTGCGCAGCCCCGAAACCCAACCCCTGCTGGCCTGCGCCAGACTGGCCCTCGTTTGTGACCAGGAGATCGGACTCACAAAGGAAGGTGGTCGGAGGATGTGGGAGGCTCGCAGCTTTTGGGGCTCGCTTGAGCTTGAGGCTGACACCGACCCCCCCAGAGATGCCAGAGAGCCATGAACTCAAGCCCTTCTGGAGCCTTTGTCGGGGAGTACTCGAGTTCAAGCTTCTGCAAGGATGTGACGTATGTGCGAAACCTCGGCAGCATGGAAGCTGTGAACAGATGCAAGCATTCTGTCGCTGAACTGACGAAGCTGTACCGACTTGACTGCACGACTCTCAGCCGTTTGAGTGACCGGCTGCTTCAGGTACACAGCACCTGGTCAACCCACATTGGCTGACATAGCTATCGTGATGCCGCCCGAAACCACTGCGAGCACTTTCCGATTGATGGTTCCTGCCGTACCTGAGTAATTCTGCGCGTCCGAAGGCCCGGGCTCATTGTGGCAACGTAGTGGAGCTTCACCTCGTCCGCCACAGCGCTGTGATGCTCTTGGAGAAACCTGGGCATATCCCCGTGAGCATGGCGCTTGATGACATCGGGCAACAAGGCCATCAAACTTAACAGCAGCCACGTCACTGTGTCATGGACTTGAACCGCACCAGCACGTTTCTCTGCAATATTTGCAGGTTCGTCCTCAACGGGAAGCCCCGAACGCCCGAGCTGATACCTGACCTAGATCTTTCGCCATCAACCGACTTTGTCTGATACACGAGACTCGGATCTACTTCCTTGCAATCATTCCAAGCCTGCAACAGCGACCCAGCCTCCGACGCTGCATCCAGCCCTGTTTTCGCAACTTGTTCTAGACATTCGCGAGACTGAGACCCCGCGCCCTTAAACCCTAAACCTGAACCCTTGAACACGAACCCTAACTCCATCCCAACTCTGACCCCGAACACCCCACCATTGCATTGGTGCAACACATCGTGGGCCCTCCCGACATCGGGGGCCCTTGTTACATCTTGTTGCGGCTGCCAATGCGTCGATGCTGCACGCCAATCATTAGCCACAAGAATGGACAGAGAACAAGAAGAAGTCTGTATGGACAGCAACAGGCAGAATAGGAGGGTGGAAGACATCTCAATTCAGCAGTCCTGCAACCACAGGATACCGGGCAAAGTGAGACTTTCTAGAACACCGCTTATCATGAGTTACCAATTCAAGACGCTCTCCTTGGCTTCTTGAGTGAATTGATCTTCTGCAGCAGGAAGTCTTTGATTCGTGCCACAGCCTGCTCATCAGGGCTGAGGTACTTCTATACCTCTGGTTCCCTAAGCCCTAACCCTAAACCCTGACCTTGGTGCGAAGCTTCTCCAGTTCCGGCGCGGATTGCGCACAGCTGGGCCTTGGGCTGTTTGTTTATCTACCTACGTACATTGATTTGTCGATCTATGCATACATATTTTCTTAATGACAATGTTATTTTGCGCAAGGGCGTGTACGAATGGAAAGATAGAGAAGCTGGTATCATGCAGAATTGCGAAGAATGTGCTGCTCGTGAAACATATGTTGCATCATTCATGTACTATACGGTTTTATACATACATGAGAGTAAGAACTTCTTCGTCGCATCTCTTACGGAAAGTAACCCGAGTATGCAGAGTACAGGAATGCCCTAACCTGGCGAGCGGAGGAATGACCTCGCAGGAATGAAACATTCGTGAAACTATAAACAATAGTTAGTCGTAGCATTGTTACTGTTATCATTACTAACCCTAAACCCTAAACCCTAAACCCTAAAGTTTGTTCTCACATTCTTCGGGGCGGAGGACCTGGAGAAGCTCGATATATCTCGATATGAAAAGGGAGTATCATTGGTAGAGTACACGGGGGAGAAAGGCCGGACCGGTCTGGTGATGTGCCCTTGTTGCAGTTACGGAACCCAATGCTCGATCCCAGGTTAGACCATGTTTTACCAGTTCTGCTGCACTAAGTACTGCTTTTAGGTGGATGCGAAAGTCAATTTGTTTTACACGTTGTTTGTTGTGCTGTACGATATCGTATCACGATTTTTAGATCTGGTTGACTCGACTCCATTGTGGACACTCTGCGGACTGAGATCTCCGGCCAAGTCTTGGACGGAAGCCGGCGAGCTTGATAATGATGTGGATAGTTACTACGAAGCAACCGTATGGACAGCGTCCAAGCTGGTAATATCTCTTCTGCATAGGCGCGACAGCATGGTTTGATTCCTTACTTCGGTAGTCGATACTGCGAGACTCGAGACGAAAGAGGGCCCAGGTGGCCGACAGCTTCTGCATCTCCTGCTGCTTTACGTGGTCGAGCCTGGCACCCAAAGAGTGATCGTTTCAGGGACCAGGGCCCAGGGCCCAGTAGGACCGGGCCTAGGGTTCTTGGGTTTCGGGCCCTGGGCTTCGGTTCGCAGGTCTGATATGCAGCTGCGGTGCCGATGACAGAGGGCACGAGCCATTCTGCAACACTTGACGCTTGACGCATTTGGGGAGGCAAGTGCGGTCGTAATCTCAAGATTAAACGCTTAAACCCTCAGCCCGAAGCCCTAAACCCTAAATTCAGATCCCCAAGACGATCCTAAACCCCAAACTAAATCGTACTTTCCAAGGGCCCGGCTTCTTGTTCAGCTCAGACAGGTGGCCGAGATAAGCCTGGCGACGGGCTGCGATTCGCTCGCGTTTCGGGGTTCGGGGTTCGGGGTTTCGGGTTTGGGGAAGCGTAGCGCCCTTTTTTGGGGGAAGTGCACGGTTTAGGGCTTGGGGTGTAGGGCTTGAGGGTTTGGAGTGGGCTCGTTTCAGCCATTGAGGGTTTCCTGCTGCGTCCGAAGCTGTGAGTTGTGAATGACTGCACACGAAACCTGCTTTGGAACTTCGTCAACCTCGGAAAGCTGGGTGCCCAAATTGCAGAAACATACCGAAGCACAGTCTATATACATATATGTATATAGAGATATGTATATATGTGTTATATATTATATTACATATATATATATATACATATATATATCAACCTCAAGACAGAAAGTTGAAAGGAAGGAGCGAGATTTTAGAGGCCAAGCTAAGACAAAGTCTGCCTCGTTGATCTCCTCCTCACAGATCTGTCGGACCAGCTGTGGGCTAACCACCACGGAACCCACCTGACTTGAGGCCCCTCCCGTCGTCGGACTTTAAGTGCCGAGTTTCTGGAGTAAGCTGGGGGCTCTGGAGAGGATTCGAGGCATAGTGGGCTTGGGGGTTTTTACTCCAGGATTTGCACTTTTCCTGGGCGCCTGAACCTGAAGTAGCCTCGCTGCTGCAGTGAATAGGAAAACGGCAGCATTGTTCACAGGCATGCGCTGTCACTCCGCATCACATCACACAGGAGGGACAGCTGTTGGTCAACCTGTCTGGGTGCACGGCGTAGTCGGACATCAGCGACTGCAATGCCCGACGATTTTGCCTCAATGACGGCTCTCACTTGCAATCAAGTTGTTACTCAGCTCATCAACGAGTGCATGGAAAGCTTCGTTTTGGCCGTGGCACGCCAGTCTTGGGCCCCTTGTCGGCACTTTGGAGATGCAGCAGGTCGTATTTTCAAGCCGCTGCGATTGCTATGTACATGTTGGACATAAATTGTCCCACAGGGTCCCAGAGACCTCGAAAGCACTCTCCCCCCGACTCTCAACGAGCAGGAGCTGCACCACACCGCCCGTGGTTTGATCCACAAGTCTGTTCCGAAGCTTTTTAAGCATTGTCCGCTGCCATTCCGAGGACGGACACCAAGAGGCTTTGGTCGTCTTCCTCACGCAGAAGTTTGCTGTGGGGCAATGTCAAGGCCTCAGAATGCAAAGGCGGAGTGATGAAGCGTTGAGGCGATGACTGCAGTCATACTGGGGATGCTGCGATCTGCCATGCATACGTGAGCGTATCTACGGCTTTTCTTCGTAGTTGTCCAACTGTGGCATCCATATCACAGAGGAAGACGGCGACGTCATTGCCTGGGGAGCAGCCAGTTTGCTCGTGGCAGGTTGCAAGATGTTAAAGGTGTGTCGGGTTTGAGGTTCGTGGCTTCGTGGGTTGTGGCTTTGAGTGGCAGAAAGCTGGGCCTGCCATTCCCGTGCACTTCACTTCCAGCTGGTCTTCGAGCCAGGCTGCCTGCATCAGCACCCCGTACTCTGCGGTGGCTCTGCTCGGACCCGGATGGAATCATGATAGAAAAGAACCATAGCACCCAAATCACAGTTGAGCGGTATGGTACTGGTCTTCGTAGTCTAGGACCCGGAAAGGAACAAGCTCGAAGATGAGAATGCAGAAGCCCGGTACGAAAGTTGTCGCCCAGTCATGAGGACGATAACTTCTTCGGGGAGTTTCGACACTGCTTCTTGGACACTGCTTCGTGTTATCCGTATCCTTTACATTCGACAAGCGAAAATTGGCCACTCCGAGCCCTGCCCGCCTGAAGGAGCAGCGCCAGGGTAAGGCGACTTGAGATGGGTCGAAGCGTGATTTCACCTTGGGGAGCGGTGCCCTTGCTGCTCTGCACCGGGATGAAATCGAGTCTAGGAGGCGTGGAGATATCTTTGTGCTGTCTGCCTATCGTTGCAGTGAGATGCGTAGGCAGTTCATGCCCTCTGGCCATTCTTCTCTCCTTTCCTCCTGCCTCCTTACTCTATACGTCCTTGGATTGTTGTCTTCTACCTTCTGTTTTGCAACACTTCGGACTAGACCTGCTGCAGCTGCAACAAACCAACCCCAGACCCTGTCAGGCTAAACTGCAGAGACCCCGTTCGAGCAAAACTCTCGACTGAGCATGAAGGCACTCGATGCGGTATTGTCCCAACCACTAAGGTCAAGACGCAAGCAGATCCAGTAGTTGCGGGACTCCGCGCGTTTGCAGCGAACCGTTCCTGTCAAGGTATGCTGGCCAGCGGCCAGGCATTCCCAGTAAAGGATGTGCTCCTGCGGGCAGATGTTGAACAGGCTGTATTGATCCACATCGCCGATGAGAGCGCCGTCCATGTACACGCTTAAGATTCCGTGGTGAGGATTGCAACCTCCCGCAAAACCTGCTCAGGTACATCCCACAAGGCATAGAGGAATGGACGTACTTCACTGTACCATGCTACATTAACCTATGCCATGCTATGCGATGCTAGACTAGACAAGACTATAATTAATTAATACTATACTGCACTATACTGACTTGTCTATGCTAGGTTAGATCATACGTACCACAATTTCTGCCAGACTGCACCACATTCCCCCCCCCCCCCGTGACAAAGCCCCGTGGGGAGCAGCAGCTGCAGCTAAGGCGGGAGCAGATCTCATATCCGCCCTGCTCGGCCGTGACGTCAAGCTCCCAGCTATCTCCTGGCAGACCAGGAGCCATCAAAGAATGGTTTAATAGCATTTTATCAATTTTTATATTTAGTTCGAAATAGCCCAATGATCCCGAGATCGGCTTTCGCGTCGGGCTTCGACTTGGTTCGCATAAGATTGGGGGGGGGGGGCATTTTTTGCAAGCTTGATACTGCAATGGTGGCTCTGCGGTGATGAACACCGGCTCCTTCGCTTGGAGGGTTCTGGCCGTAGCCTGCGAAGTCCTTGGAATGTCACAAACATCACTAACAGCTTAGAATCAGCTTGAGACAACTTAATAAATGCCAGCGTCAACTGTCCGGTTACGTGCCATGTCGCACTCCGATAAGAGACATCTAGATCCAGTAACATGGGTAGTCGGACATATAAACTGACATATACTGCCGAGGAGCACGACAAACATTATCATTATCACAAAGACACAGCCTCCCCTGCGTGCGGTTCAGCTTCTGGCTGGCCGCCTACGAGAATGGGCGACAAGGGCACGCCGTGGAGCACCCGCACATGCTCCTCCAAGCTGATCTCCACGGGCTGACGGATATCGACGGCCTCAGGTCGGCGTCCAACGCCGCGGCTTTAGGGTGAGGCGTGCGGCACTTGGGGCTTTCAGGTTTGGTTAAGATATGAATATGAAGATAAATCAAAAAAACAAAGTAAGTCCCTCAATTGTTTCTGGTTTCTTACGTTCAGGTCGAGAACTTGTCCGAGCCTGCACCAGCTCCGGTGTGGACCAGGTCTTCACTCGAACTGCCGGCTCCTTCGCCGTGACCGGGCCTAGGAGGCAAAGCAGCAACTAGGGTTTTGGGTTTAGGGTTTAGGGTTTTGGGCTTAGGGTTTAGGGTTTTGGGCTTGGGGTTTAGGGTTTAGGGTTTGGGGTTTAGGCTGTAGGGTAGGTTAGGGTTCTGGGAAGTTTTTCATAGCTAGAGTAGGAGCCCGAAGGAGAAGTATCCGGAGTTACTCAGGCTTC